CCTCGCGTGCGCAGTGCCCCAGTTGATGGCCTATCGCCTCCCAACACTGCCAGTTCCTCCCGCCGCGTCCTACTCGCCGTATTCCAACCCCGCCGACCCAGTCCCGCCTTCCCTTTCTGGTTCCACCATGCCACCTCCCGATCCAGCATCTCCGTCCCTCTCCAACAAGAGGCAGCGCATCGACCCCCTCCAGGACCCCAACGGCGCCCACCACCCACCGCCTGACGAACAATTCATCACAGACCATGACGCACAGGAGAGCGGCGCAGACGACGACGAGGACGAGGAGAAGCCAAAGTCGGACAAGAAGGCCGGCCGCAGGAAGATCAAGATTGAATTCATCCAGGACAAGTCTCGTCGACACATCACCTTCTCTAAGCGCAAGGCCGGCATCATGAAGAAGGTACGTCGTTGGACGTGTAGCGCGCGTCGCACCGCTCACCACGCGTCTACTAGGCCTACGAGCTCTCCACGCTCACCGGCACGCAGGTGCTCTTGCTCGTCGTCTCCGAGACCGGCCTCGTCTACACGTTCACCACCGCCAAGCTCCAGCCGCTCGTGACTCAGCCCGAGGGCAAGAACCTGATCCAGGCATGCCTCAACGCGCCGCACGGTACGCTGCCCTCATCCATGCCCGTCGGCACGCCTATCGGGCGCTCGAACCCCATGTCCATGCCCGCCCACCACCAGTCTGGCGGGCCCGCGTCCGGCCCCAACGTCCCCGGCGGGCTCGCGATCTCGGGCGGGTCGTCGGGCAAGGACGACGCGGATGCGGACCAAGACGACGACACGGACGCGGCGCCAGCGCAGGGCACGCAGGGCCAGGACCGCAACACGCGCAAGCGCCGCCGCGCATCGTCCTCCGCCGGCCAGGCCGGTCAAACGCCAACGACACCCGTCAGCGGGCGTGCCTCGCAGGGACAGGGCGCGGCCTCCGCTGCGAACGCACAGGCGTCTGCCGGCGGCGCGAACACGTCTCCTCACGCGCGCACGCAGGCGATGCCTCCGATGGGCGGAGCGCCGCCGCTGACGATCCCGACGGGCCAGCAGCAGCAGGGTATGCCGAGCGCGATGGAGCACTCGCCGCGCCAGCCGACGTCGCCCAACTACACGCACGCGAGCGCCGGGGGCGCGTATGGCGAGACGGGCATGTACGGTGCGCCGCCGGGCGCGCCGCAGGGATACGCTACCGCGCCGGGGTATGCGCCATTTGGCGGGCACGATGGGACGCAGGGAGGGGCGGCGGGCATGCAGGGACATGCGGGCTGGGGTGCGCCGCCGCAGGTGCAGCAGGGGAACTATCATGCGAGGAGATGATGGACCGAAGGTGATCACGACGATGAACACGTCTGGTCCACGGGACGCGCATGCGAAAGAACATTGGCGGTTCGCGCGCCCTGCGTTTGTCTCTATACCAAAGGCTTTTTTTCTCCCCTGCCTGCTCCTCACTCGTGAACGAAAATAGCGGTCTTGTCCGGTCTGCGTGTACATGCCCTCCCCCTTTCTCCTCGTCGGATGTGACGTGTTTTCTTGGCCCGGTTGTTTACCCGCTACTGTTATCCTCTCCATCTTCCGTCTCTACCTTGCTTTGCTCGTGTCCTGGTAGCGGCTGTTTTCTACGTGCGATCTACGAATTACGATGTGCCATGACGAAGTCTCCTCAGGTAGTTAGTGATGTGGTGTCGAGCGTCGTAGCGATAGCGTCCCCCGGTTGTCGATGTGAATGCGAAAGAATCAAGTGTATATATACGATATGTTTGCGTGGGTCGGTGTACATGGCCTGCTCAGAACAGGCGACTATTATCACAAGGACAGGTCTGCCCAAAGAAGAGAAGACGGGAGAAGTGAATACAGATGAAACGAATCGATGACGCAATACACCGCTCCGAGCGAGCTTGAGAACGGAAGCAAGCAGCGGGAGAAGAGACGCACTGGCTCGGAGAGAAATACAGTATTGCAAGGTTCTCGAGGGCGTGCACGAAGAGAAGCGTTCTGGTGCTGGTTGTGATCTTGATTCCGGAATATTGAATTGTGGCGGTGGGAAGACGAGCAAGTGATCGGAGCAATTGGTGATTGCTTGACATATAAGTGCATGACGGCGACAACAGATCCGGTTGTGACGATCGGGTTTGAGGCGAACACTTCGTCGATAGTGGGTCACATATTTGGTTCCAAGGTAGCATGAGCTAGGGCTTAGTTATGCATCCTAGTAGGTGTCGACAAGCGATCCCACGTCGTGCACGAGATCCTTCCACTGCATCCTGACAAGTTCGCTGATCCATGCTTGCGTGTATCTGCATCCGCAGGGTGTCAGTGGAGTTGGACGGTACATCTCACTGCAAGTATCACTCACCTCTATTCCTGTCATGGGTCATGGGACGTCAAGAGAAAGTGCAAACAGCGTCCACCGGAGCGCATCGCAGGTTGTAGGTTCAACATGA